CATGTGGTGCTGGGGGATTGAACCGCAGTCCCTGATGCTTTGCCAAGCTTGTTCTAAGTAGGTGCTTTAGACCACTGAGCCATCTCTCCAGCCCCTCCTTGACATTTTAAAGAGTGAATGAGAAACTGTCTTGCAGCATAGCAAAGCAAGTTCGTTGGGTCTTCCCTGTGGGTTTTGGAGACAGGGCTCAAGTGAGGAGTATTTGTGAGAGAAAGTTCATAAGAGTAGGGTGGATGGAAGATGAGCAGGATAGGGAATAATTAGAAAGTGACCCAAGTCCTCAGTTTGCCTAAATAAAAGTTCATGAATATTAACTGTTGCTGCAGAATAGATAAAGGACAGTGGTGGACAAAAAATTGTGTTTGCTTGTTCAGTGTAATAGTTTTTTTTTTTTTTTTAATGTGTAAATGAAAATGTTCTGGAGAAGGTATATTTCATTGTGGGTAAAATGGTATTGACTTTGGGATGTGTATATTTGTTGTGAAGTCAGATGAACCCATGAGCGCTAATGTGAGGTAAGTAAACTTGTGTGTGTATGTGTAGTATGTATGTGCTGGACATTGAATGTCTGCTAGGTAAGTGCCTACCACTGAGCTAAGTCCCCAGCTCCCCCTTTTTTTCCCTTTGTATTTTAAGACAGGCTCTCCATAAGTTGCACAAGTTGATCTTGAACTTCTGATTCTGCTGCCTCAGCCTTCTAAGTAGCTGTGATTAGAGTCCTGCACCACCACACCCAGCTGAGTAATTTTTGAGATTCGTTTTCTTCATCTGCTTTTTAACAAGGGTAAGTAACGTCATATATTTTGCAGCATTTTAGGGAAAATCTAGTAGTTTATATAGCTAGCATGTGTGGCATATAGTGGATATTCACATCTGTTAATAAATGCTCTCCTCTAAGTTGTAAGTAGTTTTACTTTCCTTATGTTTTTCCTCCTCAAAATGTACTCTGTAAAAGTACTAAATACAGGTAGAAGATTTGGTATCAGTCCATGATATATTATGAAGGTTGGAGAAAACATTAGTGTTTTGTATAGATGATTCTGCTTTTGATTTGAAATGTGATTTTCAGAAACAATGAAAAGTAGTTTTACTGAAAGAAGCATGTGAATAGGGGATAAAGGTAAAGGCAGGTCCAGGTAGAGAATCTTTTCTCATTCTTGGAGTAATTGGGAATAGGTGTAACAAAAAGAAACATTTTATGTAGAGAATACTTTGTAAAAGCCACTGTCATTCTTGTGTTTACAAATGTAGACTGCTCATTCTAGTTCTTTCCTACAAAGTTTTTTTAGTCCTTTATTTGATGTTTAAAAAATTAATATTCACTTACACTTTGAACCAGAGTTTCTAATGATCTAGGTACTTAGCTGTGTCAAAAACTGATGTATATTATCTTTAATTTCTGAATATCCTTGTTGTTTACATCTGCATCAGAGAAATTGTAGAATAGGTTAAATTTGCTTAATTGTAGAAATGGCTTTAAGAAGGACATTATAGTTAATTCTAGGTAGGGAGGAATTTATGGTAAAGTTTTTTTTTGTTTTCTTGTGGTATTGGAAATTAAAACCAAGGCCTTGCAAAATACTTTGTAGTTCATTCAAGTGTCCTTTGTTATAAGTAGCAGAAACTGAGCAGTTGGATGGGAATTTAAGTTATTCAGATGATTTTAGGTAGCTCACAGAATCGGGGACAAAATTAGGTATTCAGGTTCTCAAAATAGACAAGTTATGAAGAATACATAGGCTGGACTGTGTTGGAGTGATAGCTTGGTTAGGGCACTTTGGCTGCTGCTCTCTTTGGTGCTGCTAGGAAGCATTTTCCAAGTATCACTGGTCTTTAAACCACTGTATCAAGCTGGAGCAGCTAGTGGTGTAGATATAGGGTTTGTTGTCTAAACTCCTCTCTGAATTGCACTTCTCTGTATCCATTGCCTCTTTAAAAAATATTTGGTACAGGTTCTCACTACCCAGCACAGACTCGTAGTGATCCTCCTGATTTCTGCTTCCCCAGCGCTGGGATTACAGGTGTGTGCCACCATGGGTGGTCTCAGTGGATGGCTTAGTGTGCCTGGGAGTGGGGCTGAGGATTGAACCCTGGTCGCTGTGCTTGGATAAGCAGGTGATTAATCTGCGGAGCTATCTTGCTGGCCTTCCATTGCCTTCTTACTGTCTTGAGTTTGAGGGCTCATTTGACTTTTTTTTTTTTTTTTTTTTGCGGAACCGGGGATTGAACTCAGACCCTTGCGCTTGCCAGGGGAGCGCTTATTCCACTGAGCCATCTCCCCGGCCCTTGACTTCTTAATTTTTAATGTATCCCAAACTGAACTATTTTACTAAATTCTCATACTTGTACTTTCCCATAAGGCATATTTTTTTCATATAATATTCCATAATCTAGATTTTAAGAATGTGTCTTCTAAAGTCAGGTTATACATATTTGATGTATGTACTATATAAGTTAATAATGACTACTTTATATTGTATCTCATTAGGACGCATGTGTCTGTTACGTTTTGGTGATACTTTCTGCTTTTTCTTTTCACATGAACCTGCCAGATCTCTGTGTGCCAGGTTTCTGTGGTACTACCTTCAGACCATGTCCAACTTTTGCAAAATTTTTCACCTAGTAGCTTAATATTGAGAAGGCAGACATTCTAAAAATGGCTATCAATGTGTATCTTCACAGTAGCTATTAATTACTATCAGGAGCTTATGAAACAAAAGCTTTAATGTTCATTTCATTGTTTTAAGGCAGTAAAGATAAGCAGATAATTCATTATAAATATCAAATCTTAAAAAACTGATTTAGTAAAGATCAATAATTATTCCCTAATTTGGAATCTAAAAGCAAAAACTACCTTGTTTAACTGTCCGTTTTTTGAATGTATAAGATAATACTGTTTGAGAAAAAGGCATATTAGGGAGGAGGTTGGAGGTACTACAGTAATTTGTATTGGTACCTTTAAAATATTTTCCCATTAATTTGAGGAAGCAAAATATACTTTGTATGTGAGTGAAAATTTGTCTCTTTTTTCAAGAAATATCTCTAGATAGAATAAGTTCCTATGGATACAGATGCAAATTGGAAACTATGGACTTGATGTCCATACCATATAAGTACTCCTACTCCTGTATTTGTACTCCTCCATTACATGTAGAGCTCCAAGAATAAAATATAAAACTGTACAGACTTTCCCAATATGCTAGACAAACAGCAAAAGGTCAAAAATCAGTATCATACTAGTTTATGGTTACAGCATTTACTTTAAAATTTTATCTTCATTTTCCAGGCTGAAATACTTACGGAAAAATGAACCAACAATATGAAAATCTGTTTAACACAGCACATTCATCCTATTTATGAGTGATCATCTGTTAAAAATCATTTAAGCTACAGTATATATGAAGTAAAGATATCAAATTCTTAGTTTTTTCCTTGCATAGCTTAGATAAGTTTTATTTTGTTCTGCTTTCTATTTTTGTGTTTAGATTAACTTTTTTTTGGAATATAAACCAATTTGAAGGAAGAATGTATGCAGTGTATTATTTGTTGAAACTGTACTTTCGATTTGATTTGAAACTGTCTCATTGCTATATGTTTATCAATAAAACTTTGAAAAGAAAAAAAATAAACCAATTTGATATATAACAAAATAACATGTATGCAAGTTCTCAGTGATTTCAGGAAATGATCGAACCTTCTTACATAAAAGGTATTATGAGGTAAAATATGTACAGTTGTATGCCGAGATCTGGAAATTCTGTATGCTTATCACTTGATTATCACCCCAAAACTTAAAGGATTAAGAACAATTCTGTTAAAAAAATTCTCAGCTCTTTTGAAGTTAAATGAACTTCTGTGATACTTTCATAGTTGTATTATTTTATCTGTTGAATCATTAGATATGTACTAGTGAACACTAAGGAAAAGCCTGTAAGTCATGTAAAGTAGTTATTTAAAAGGGCAGCTAGAGAAAAAAATTTCATGCCAGGACAATTAGTGTATTACACTATGTACTGTAAAGATTTTTTTTAGTACATAACTAAATACTATAATCATTAAGGAATACTGTTTAGAGTAGTACATATCTTTTCTAAGTATTTCTCTTCTCATTTGATGTTATGCCGGTGGACATGAATAGTTAGGATTTGGAAGAATAGCCTAGTAGGAATAAAAGAAAGGCAGACAGATCAAGGCCCAGGCATGTACCAAAAAAAAAATATATATATATATATATATATATATATAGAATTGTTAAAAAGAATATGGTTTAAAAAAATTTTTTTTAGTAGTGCTGAAGAAACTTCCCCATTGTTCTGTCTAGTTATTAATGTTACTTTAGTCTCAGTTTGACAAAGCCTTCTCTCTGTCTGTCTGTCTGTCTGTCTGTCTGTCTGTCTGTCTGTCTTTTTAATTTTTTGGCTTTGGTGCTAAGAACAGAATCCAGGGCTTCCAGCTTGCTAGGCTAGTGTTCTACCGCTGAGCTAAATCCCCAGCCCCAACAAAGCCTTTCTCTTAAGAACTTTTGTTTTATTTTGGTATTTACTCCTTTGTTATAGTCAGATGCGTAGTATTTAAAATGTCTATTATAGGGAAACAAATATAGTATTTTTATTTTCCAGTTTAGTATGTATGCTAATAAAAAACCCAAAGATTATTTAGCTTAATTTAAAGCATATGAAAAAGTTCTTTGATAGTTGTTAGTGCCAGTGGTGTTTTTCAAATATTCAAGGCAAACTCAAATGTCATCACTTCTTTAGCTTTTTCTGACACTCTCTTCTAGACATAATTAAATTACTCCTTCATCTGTTTCTTTGTAGCAGTTTAACCACAAAACTCTAGTACAGCATTTTATGTAATTATACTGTATTGTGCTAATTTGTTTACATGTCATCTGTTAGACTGTGAGCATCTCGAAGACAGGTCTTGCTTTATTAAACATTTTGCACTCTATCTTAAGGGTCGAATCTGGCCTATTGAAGATCCTTTATGATCTTTGTTGAATTTTGAGCATTATTTAGGTTCTGCGTATGATAAAGCATTTTATGTACTCTTCTAAGAATCTGTTATTTTGCTTATTAACATAGGTGCAATGTTCAGTAAAATATGACCTGTTTGATACAGTATTTAATAAAAGTAGTAATGTGTTTATTTTTGTAGTTATTTTGTCAGCCTGAGGGAAAAAATACTTAAGAAGTCATTATGGATACTGTATTTTACTTGAGGTCCCTTTATGATGTTGATTTTTAATAAGAAATTATACATTTTTTAGCATTTTTTTTTCACTTACTACCATTGTATTATTTTTCTCTGCTTATTTTTCCAAACAAATCTGTTTTAGCAGTCTGAATCCTTTGGCACCTTAACTATAGACAGACTCCATTTATACTGTTCTCTGTAGTTCACGATGTTAGTGTATGTGTTTGTTGAACATCTATACTTTGCAGAGTATGAAGTTTCATAGAGTACTTAGTGCAGGGGAGCCAGGGAGATTGAACAGGCTGAGATAATCACTATCAGTCATAGTGAAGAGTGGGGTGTTTTAATGAATGACCTAAGGTTCTCTAGTGCTGACATGAGAAGTCCTTAGTCCACACTTGGAATATTCGCATGTTGTCAGATTACTGAAGACTCATTACTTTATGTATATAAGTATTGTTTCCACAGAAGTCACTGATTTCTCTTAGGATAAAGGTTTTTTTTTTTTTTTTTGGTTCCTCGAATGCCTTCAGGGCACTTTTGGCCAGCGGAAGAGTTGTGAGGTTCGAACTCCAGCAACCTGAGGCT